GCTAAGAAAATGTGGATGGGTTGCAGTTCGCATAATTTGAGAGATGTTAAAATGTATCAGATCACTGATCTGATAAAAGTATTTATACTTTTATAAAGTATTTAAAATTATTCACAAATGTATGTGTGTTTGTACATACATACAAATATATGTATATGTATGCAGGTGTGTATGTATATATACAGACACATATATAGTCTGTGTACAGATGAAGGGATTTAAGAACTAAGAATTATTTTAAGAACAGCTTTAACTTACTTAAATTATTTAATTTATAAGGTCCTCAGCTTTAGAGGAACATATTTCCACATTATGAAAATCATTGTTGCCTATACAAAGCACTTCATTCAAATGATACTGGGTATTTGGAAAGCTAGATAAAACATCTAGTGATGTGTAAAGTGAATATGTGCCTAAGTGATAATGAAAATGAAAGGCATCAGTACATTTATAACCAAACAGGAGTATACAGACATATTGAGATTAAAATAATAAATGTTAGCATAGCGGGGGCCCCGGTACACTTAAATCATAGAGATAGAAGAAAGGGTTGCTACTGTTATAGAAGAGTATATCCATATTTTTACCTGTGGTAAGGCTGCCTTAAGGATCATAATTAAGCAGAAAGATAAAATGCAACTATTCCTGGTATTTGTTAAGTCAGGGCTTCATAATTTTGTAAAGATCAGTGTAATATCAGGAGAAAGGAGATAAAGAAAGAAGCAAGGAAAAAGAAAGAAAGAAAGAAAGAAAGAAAGAAAGAAAGAAAGAAAGAAAGAAAGAAAGAAAGAAAGAAAGAAAGAAAGAAAGAAAGAGAAAGAAAGAAAGAAAGAAAGAAAGAAAGAGAAAGAAAGAAAGAAAGAAAGAAAGAAAGAAAGAAAGAAAGAAAGAAAGAAAGAAAGAAAGAAAGAAAGAAAGAAAGAAAGAAAAAACAGAAAGGAAGGAAGAAAAAACAGAAAGGAAGGAAGAAAAGAAGGAAGGACAAGAAAAACATATTTTTAGATAAAGAATTTATTTCAATAGAATATTTGCTATGTACCAGGCACTGTGCTAAGCATTGGGAATACAAATACAAGAAAGTAAGATGGTCCATGCCCTCAAGGAGTTTACATTCCATTGGGAGAGGCTATACACAATAAAGCACAGGTAGCAAAGGGTAGAGAGGGTGGGGCAAGCTCATTTTGGAGACTTCTCAAGACAGTGAGGTGAGGGCCTGAATCCAGGAAAGATAAGGCAACACCTCATCCATCTGTTGAGTCTATGGTGGTTCCAGGGTGAGAATCCAAGTTTTTGGTGGGGGGATGTAGCAGTGATTTCCAACGAATGAAAGGTTTGGAAGTGGCCACAAAGCAAGATGGAAAGAGCCAGGTAAGAAAGTGTAGCTACGGTATCTGGGGTTCTGTATATAATTTCCAGGTTTCTCTCCTTCCATATGTATCAGTGTCTCTTCCAAATATGCCTCCCGCACCTGGAAGTGTGTGTGTGTGTGTGTGTGTGTGTGTGTGTGTGTGTGTGTGTGTGTGTATACACCCAGGGTGTTTCACATATCCTTAGCCCCATTGTCAAGTTTTCCAGAGATCTAGATACCTCTGGGGAGTTAACAAAGTCAATGAAGTCTTCATAATTTGCAGTACTTTCTGATACCCCTCCCTCAGAGAGTGTGCTTGATAGGGATTAGGAGCCTGGCAATTTAAAAAAATCAAATTGAAAATTAGGAAAGATCATTGATAGCTCAGTCAAGTATAGCTGTCTCCTGATGAACTGATTAGGATACATTCACTAGAGTTATTTATACTGAGATTAGATTTTTGGAAATGTTAGATGTTCACATTTGGCAAAAGAAAGAAGGCATTATTTCATACTTGTTACACTATCACTTTTAATTCAGTACTACTATGCAGATTTTTCACAGAGATTTTCGTTTAATCAATTTCATATTTCCCTTAAATGATGTCTCAGTGAAAAAGCTCATACAGTCTGTTTCATGATGTATCTGCATGCCATAAAAAATGTATATTTCCTAGATGTCACTATGTGAGTTTAACTGCCTGGTATTACAAGTAAATGATATTACTTCATTTTTTGCTTGACTAAGCTAGATCAATATTGTGTGTTAAAATGAATGCATCATTAATAACTACTTCAAAGACTTACCGTTAACCTTTCAGAAAAAAAAATACTAGGAAAAGGCTCCAGTAACCAAGAAACATCAAATAATTGCGCGCTCTCTCTCTCTTTCTCTGTCATATACACACAATATGTATGTGTGTATATATATATATGAATTATGTGTATCTATATATCTGTATCTATATACTATAGATATAGATATAGATATATAGATACACACATATTTTAATGACAAGAGAATATGATTCTAAAGATTTTGTTCTACTGGGAGTATGCATAAGTCCCCTAAATATATCAAACAATTAATCAATGGAATTGACAGAATTAATTAATCTTAGCACTTTCTTAAATTGAAAAATGCGTCTCCAGAAATATTTAATGATACTTAGATTTTTTTCCGCTTGTATTTTTCACTATAATGTATTGACAGCTTTTTCATAGTCATGTCTGATGATGTAAAGAAAAAGTTCCATTTTGCCAAAAATTAAATGAGGATACATTGAACTCAGTTGGCACTAAGAAATTGGTTGGACAATTGGGACAGAGCAAAAAGACCACAATCATATTGAGTTCCGTTTCCCTAAATTCTTTATACTCAATAATTTGAGTCGTAATCCACGGGCTACATACAATATGTTTAATGTATGCTTAGAAGATAAATTTTAGCATATCATGTAATTCTTTTAAAGTTAAAATACATTAAAATATATATGATGGTCATTCACTTAAAGTATGAGTTTCCATAATTACAACACTTGAAAAGTCACATTAGATTTTTTACTAATTCAAAGGAAATATGGAAATATTTTTAATTCACTTTTAATATAAAGTTACTCAATAAGCATTTGTTTGATTTAATTCAACAAATAATTATTAACCACTTACCACATCCTGCCATATTGGGTGGAAACCTGTGAGAAACTTACCGGAAGACATTGACAAGTTGCACAAAATAGGCAAGAGTGGATGAGTTGCAATCTTCATTCTCTGGTAGAAATAACCAAATAAATTAGATTAGAAATGATTTGAATATTTGTGTCTGTGTAGGACAATATACTAGGTTCTGGGGATACAAAGACAAAATTTTTTAAAGTTCCTGCCGTTGAGTTTTCATTATATTAGGGGCATAAACATTTACTCGGATGAGTATATAAAGAAAATGCTGACAATTAAGGAGATCAGACACTATTTCCCATAGAGGGTGGTATCTGAGATGAGCCTTGAAAAAAGTGAAGAAATCTAAGAGTCAGAGGTAAAGAGGAAGTGCATGTGGGATAGGTGAGGAGGACAACATGTGGGAAGAGCCTATGCTAAAGCCCAGAGGCAGGAGGTGGACTGCTGAGTTCAGAGAGCAGCAAGTTAAGCCAGTCAGGATGGAACAAAGAGCACCTGTAGAGAAATGATGTGAAATAAGTCTGGAAAGAAAGGTTGAAGCCAGACTGTGAAAGACTTTAAATGCCCTTGGTACATAAAATACAGCTTGTATTTTATCCTAGAGGTAATTGGAAATCACTGAGGCTTCTTGAATAGGAGACTGGCATACTCCAACCTGAACTTTAGGAAGATTGGAATGGAATATAAGGGAGCATCCAGATGTCTAAGTGGATAGAATATCAGGCCTGGAGTCAGGAAGACTCATCTTCCTAAGTTCAAATCCAGCCTCTGATACTTACTAGTTGTGTGACCCTGGGCAAGTCACTTGTTTGCATCAGTTTCCTCATATGTAAAATAAGCTGGAGAAGGAAATGGCAAACTACTCCAGTATTTTTGACCCCCTCCCAAAAAAAAACCAAATGAGATCACAAAGAGTTGGATACAGCTAATCGATTAAACAACAACAAAATGGAAAATGTATATTGAAGAGAAAGAATAGAAGCAGGGGAAACAAGTTAGGAACTGCTGCAATAATCCAGGTGACAGATGATCAGTGTCTAAACTCTCACACTGAGAGTTCTGAACTTTGGCCATGTGAGTGTGGCCAAAGGGATGGTGACAGTGTAAATGTTCCCCATTCTGTGCATTCAGACAACTTGTCTCTTGTGCCTGAAATATATTTCTTCAAAGGAAATGAATCTTTTACTTCCTTTGAGCTCATCTTTTGCTTCTTGAAGCCTCACTGATTTAAAATGCTAAAAATATTCTTTCTATCCTCAAGTTTTCTTAGAACACTTCGCATATATCTCTCTGAACACATCACTTCCAACCTTATCTATCTATGTGTAATATCATATATAGCATATATACTTATGCATCTATATATATATAAATGTATGTGTACACACACACACACACACACACACACACACACATGCACACACTTTGAGAATGAGGATTGTGTCATTTATCTTATATCACCAGAATTTATCAGGGTATATTACACATCGTAAGTATGGAATTTAACTGATATACATATGTGTTTGTATATTTGTATATATGTATACACACACACACACACATATATATACACACACACACATATATATATATATATATACACATACGCATATGTTGAATTGATTTAATATATATATTTATATATTTGGAGCTGCTATAAGAATCTTAACATTTTCTTTCTATAATTTTGAAGAATAATTGAATATCTTTGACATGTTCTTGTATTAAATAAATATGTTTGTGATTAGTCCTATTTAGGGGACCTATTATAAATGAACATATCTGACATGTACATAATAGTGTATCTATGATCTCTTAAGAAATTAAAACAATCAAGAATATGGATATTAAATCAAATGTTATTTTTGAATCCTCTTGAGTCTGTAATTGAAATGCCATTTGAATAGTATTGGTTTTTTAAGTTATCTAGAAGCTTTTAATTATGTATTTATTTCCCATTTTCATGTTTTATATAGTTCATTTGACAGCAAATTTGTTTACCAGCAAAGAGGACTTGGACCAATTGAAGAGGATACTATTCTTGTGATAGACCCAAATAATGCTGCAGTGCTTCGGTCTACTGGGAAAAATTTGTGAGTTTTACTGTTTTGTTATTGTTTCCAAGACTTCTGCTAAGTATAATACACACATGACATTGAGGGAATTAGATAGGTAGCATAGGATATCATCAGAAACTTTCTGGAGCTTCCTCTCCTCTGCATTATCTAGAATCATAAAATGTTGAAATTGGAACAAGTCCTAGAAAATTCCCAGTCCTAAGATCATAGGTTTTAGAGATGGAAAGAACCTCCGAAGCCAGGGGTGTGCTGCATTCAGCTCATACTGTTAAATTCTCAATGTGATCATTCAAATCTCTGGAGTGGCAAATGCTACAAAGCAGGGCTTGATTTATTGTTTTGTTGGTTGTCTAGACTTAAGGAAGTGAAATGCAAATTAAATTTTAAAGTGTATCATCTTCTGAGAGCAGGTTGTTAAACATTTACCCATATATCACAACATCTAGTCTAATCTTTTATTTTAAGAAATGAGAATATTGGCCAAAGTAGAATATAGGAACATAGGATCATAAATTTAGAGCTTAATGGACCTTACCGGCCATCAAGTCCAAACCCCTCATTTTAAAGAAGAGGAAAATGAGACAAAAAAGTAAAATGGTTTTTCTAGTGTCATACAGCTAGTGTCCAAGATGGGATTTGAAACCAAATCTTCCTGAGTCCAAAGCCAGTGGTCTTTCTGCTCTACTGCACAGCTGTCCTATTGGTTCTCACATTTTTCATGGCTGGATAGTAGCAAAGCTGGGGAAAACAACCCAAGTATCCTGACTCACATAGCACTTTTCTCATCACATCACACCATATTCATGAATAACTAGTGGAATAACATGACCTGTTTCCTATAGACGTAAAGCTACCTTATAAACTTTACCCAAGCGAATCACCTACATCAAAAATGATGGCAATGGCAACCTGCTATTCTTATGCAGGTAATAGAGCTTGTTATGAAGCATATAAAAGACTAATCAATTATCCTTTAAGAAGAAGAGTCACTTAAGCTAATCCAGTAACTGAAGTGTGAAAATGCTTCACTCCAAGTTGAAAAGTAAGCACATCACCTTTTTAGCCTTACTCACTGGCCACAGTGAAATTTGGCTTTTAAAACCACTCCTTATTTTATCTAGATCCTAAATGACAGGACTTTTGGCAATCTGAATAGAGTTGGATGATGTTTTTCACCAAGGAGAGAAAAGAAAATATAGTTGTAAGATACCAGCTTTGACTACCACGGAATACTCTAGCCTGCCTGCTTAAAAATAGGTTTGACCAACTTCTTAAGATAGGCAACTATGAAGATTAAAACAGCTCTGAGGTGCCAGCACACAGCCATTAGTCTAACAAAGTTGAGCAAAAAAAGGAAAATGACAAATACTGAAGGGGCTGAGGGAAAACACGTAGATTAATGTATTGTTGGTAGAGTTGTGCGCTGATCCAGCCATTCTGGAAAGCCTATTTGGAACTATGCCTTCAAAAATTACTGAACTATGTATATCCTTTAACCCAGTAATGTTGCAACAATAATCCTAAAAGATTTTTTAAAAGAGGAAAAGGACTCTAATGTACAAAAACAGTTATAGCTATTATTTTTGTGATTGCAAAGAGCTGTAAACCGAGGGGATGACAATCAATAAGAGAATGGCTGAACAAGTTATAGCATAACTTGTATGTGGTAAAATGCTAGGATATATGAGGTGTTCACAGAGAACTACCACCTCTGATGTGAGGGCTTGCCCAGCTCTTTTAGGGCTGCTCACTCACCTTTGGTGTCCACCTTTACCCAACCCTCATCTATTGCCCCAAGAAACTGCAGCATGCACAGAGTCTACATGCCAGTAAACCATCTTGGCAAATAGGCTAAACCTACCCAGAAAGTTGAGCGTAACCAACAGGACTTAAACCCATCAGTGAGTTACAGGGATATCTACCCCAAGCACGTGGAGACCTTCCCCTACCCACCCCGCCACCATACACACACTAGGATAAGAACAATTTGTTTCAACAGCCATAAAGGCACCTGAAGCAGGAACTGTGGAGTGTTTAGACCTCAGTCAGACATCAAATATGCCGAGGCCATCCACCAAGTCCTGCCACTGGACTTTGATGACTGGGGAAGACAGAGTGAGGCTGACAACTTTGGGCAACTGTGCCTCACTTAAATCCAGTCCACAGGCAAGTCAAGATATCACCCCTTGATGTCATGGTCTTCTTCAAAAACCAAGGTTCAACAACAACAGAAATGTGATAAAATGCTATTGTGTGGTAAGAAATAACAAAGAGGATGGTTTCAGAAAAAACATTGGCAGACTTGTATGAACTGATGTAGAGTAAATAAAACAGAACTAGGAGAATAATTTATACAATAACAGCAGTATCATAAAGACGAACAACTTTGAAAGACATAGATCAACACAATGAACAACCACAGTTCCAAAGGACTCAAGATAAAACATGCTACCCACCTTCTGACAGACAGGTTATGGACTCAGAATATAGATATACATATATACACATACACATGTGTGCATGTATACACATGTACATTCATATAGATACAGATATAGAGCAGGCTGGTTTTTGAAGACGCAGAAGAGCGAGAGACCAGATTGCCAATATTCACTGGATTATGGAGAAAGCAAGGGAGTTCCAGAAAAACATCCATTGTTTCACTGACTACATTAAAGCTTTTGACTGTGTGGGTCACAGGAAAATGTGGCAAGTACTCAAAGAAACGGGAGTATCAGATCATCTTATTTGTTTCCTGAGGAACCTGTATGTGGTCCAAGAAGCAACAGTTAGAACCAAACATAGAACAACTAATTGGTTTAAGATTGGAAAGGAGTGCAACAAGGCTGTATATTGTCACCTTAGTTGTTTGATTTATATGCAGATTACACCTTGTGAACTGCCAGGCTGAATGAGTCAAAAGTCAGAATTAAGAAGAGATATCAACAATCTCAGATATGCAGATGATACCACTTTGATGACAGAAAGTGAAGAAGAAGCCTCTTGATGAGAGTGAAAGAGGAGAGAGTAAACGCTGGCTCAAAGCTTAACATCAAAACAAACAAACAAACAAACAAACAAAAAAACCTAAGCTCTTGGCAACTGGTCCCATCACAAAATGGAAGCAGTGTCAGATTTTATATTCTTGGGCTCGAAGATCAAGGCAAATGGTGATAGCAGCCATAAAATTAAAAGACACTTACTTGTTAGAAGGAAATCTGTGATAAATCTGGACAGCATACTAAAAAGCAGAGACATCACCTTGCTAACAAAAGTCCATATAGTCTAAGCTATGGCTTTTCCACTAGTGATGTATGGCTGTACAAGTTGGACTGTAAGGAAAGCTGAGTGTGGAGTTGTGGTCCTGAAGAAAACTTTTGAGGATCCTTTGGACATCAAGATCAAATCAGTCAATATTTAAGGAAATTAATTCAGGCTATTCACTGGAAGATCAAATACTGAAGCTGAAGCCTAAATACTTTGGTCACTATCTCCAGGTTCATATTCATTGTTTCCATAACACTATCCATCTCATCCTCTGCCCTCCCTTTTCCTTTTGCCTTTAATCTCCCAACATCAGGGTCTTTTCCAATGAGTCCCATCTTCTCATTATGTGACCAATGAGGGAATCCATTTTATTTGACTATACTTGTTTGTAACCAGTGGTTTTGTTTTTCTTGCTTTCTTAGTTGGTGACATGTAGGAGGAAGGTGGGAGGGAGAAAATAAAATAACATTTGAGACAGGACAATATGCTTCCTAATCTATCTCCTTTAGAAGTAGTAAGAATGATGTTTATAAAATGCTTTATAGTTACTCATGAAGATGCCAAGTCAGGGGTCTTTGCACGGGAAGTCCAGCATGCCTGGAATACCCTTTCTCTTCATCTCTGCCTCTTGAAATCTATTGCTGTCTTCAGGGTTCAACTCATCTGCCCCCTCCAATTTTCCTTATCTATGAAATGAAGATGTTGAACTAAATGATCTCTGAAGTCCCTTATAACTCTGAGTCTATGATCCTTTGATCCTGAGACCTTTCCTGATTCCTCCAGTGGTTAGTACTCTACATTCCCCCCAATCCCCAAATTACTTTCTGTTTACTTTGTGTATTTTTGTATTTACATCTCTGTGTAATTATTGTTGCCTGTCTACTCCAGTAGACTTTAAACTCTAAAGGCAGGGGTTATTTTACCTTTATCTTTGTATTCTCTGTAGATAGCACTGGTACTGGAAGGTGCTTAGAGAAAGTGCTCATTTAATTAAATTGAATGAAATTGACTGGATGATCTACAAAGTCCTGAAACACTCTAAAAATCATCTAAACTTTGTCTACAGAAAATGTTCAGGCTACTTCTGATCTATGAAAAGAAGAATAAACCAATAAGTAGATAATAAAAAAAATTCAAAACTTAATGTTTCTGAAAATTCACGCACATAGAGGTTCTCACATTAAAGCTGGATGATCCTAAATGATGGATCTGATGTGCAAGCAGATTCTTACATCTGCAATGTAGTGTATACATCCTTACTCTTATAGATTAAATTTTCATTATTATCTGAAAAATCTTAGATTTTCAAACAAATCAACAATATATTGGTTTTGCTAATTCTACTTCCATGATTGCCATTTTGATTCTGCCATTCTTCCTATAATCCAAGCATTTAAAATTTAAATATTGACTGTTTTCTGTAAACTTACATACCTCTTCAGACAAATATACTTCTTTCTTTGTAACTCAAGCTGTTGCTTTTCCCTCCTCTTAGGAAGCCAAATGAGTATTAAATTTTGAAGGGATAGTATCTCTTCCTGTGTTAATCTGTACATATTTTTCTCTAAAATTAATTTGTTTGAACAGTATTTGTATTTCATCATAGAATAGAGCTCATTGTTTTCATGTGGCTCTACATTTAAATCATACACTTAGAGCTAGAAGAAATCTTGGGAAAAATATTGCCAAACCACCTCATTTTAGAAATGAATTATCTGAGGCCCAGAGAGGTAAGTGAACTGCTGATGGTCCCACATCTCAAAGCTGACAGAGCCAGGATCCTAGTTCAGCTCCCCTGAGTTCAAATACAGAATTCTTTCTGTTATATCATGCTGTTGTTCTAATAAGTGATATTTTTACTTTATCCTTAGTTCTAGTCTTTCCTACAATTTATTTAAATATTCAAATTATCAATTATTATTTACAATGTCACACAAAATATACCTGTTTGTATTTCATTAATTTTTTTATCTGACATATGATGCAGTTGTTTTTATTTTACAGGTTTTACTTGCCACATGGTTTGAGTATAGATAAAGATGGAAATTACTGGGTCACAGATGTAGCACTTCATCAGGTATTTGTATTATGTTAGCAAAAGGATACAAAAAAACTTGACATAATAAGTTAGCTCTTTGTCTCAAATACCTTCTAGAAAAAACATAGAATTACAAATAGAAGCTAATATGCAACATGAAGCTTATTTCTTCCATGAGCTTATTATTATTATTGAAATTGTCTGGTTCTTCTGAGACCTAGCATGACAACTAGTTAGTGAACATTTTATTAATAACTAAATCACATAACTGACCAGAGGGCCTTTTCCCCAGTAATAAAATAAGGACTTAAATTAGAAGGGTTCTCACAATATCTCAGACATAGCATCTTTTTTTATGGGAGCATGGTGATTCGAATATAGTAGGCAGTACACAAACTAATTGGACTGCTTACACCCTCTCATTTCAAACATCAAGTCAGTTAATATTTCATGAGACCAAGCTGTGGGCAAAGCATTTATCTAGAGAAGATAAAAAGTGAAATAACTGCCATGGTCACTGCTCTTGTGAAGCTTACAATTGCCTAGCTCTTCTAACTCTGATGGTCCAGTGGAGTATCATTAAACTAATGATGTTATTTGGGAATAGTTCTCTTGTGATCTAGGTTTGTGGCTCTGCATTATTATGCAAAATGTTTATCTGTACCTTCTCCTTCTGTATCTTTTTTTTTTAAAGGTATTCAAACTAGATCCAAATAGCAAAGGAAGCCCTCTCCTTATTTTGGGAAGAAGCATGCAGCCAGGCAGTGACAAAAATCACTTTTGTCAGCCCACCGATGTGGCTGTAGATCCAGTTACTGGAACCATATATGTGTCTGATGGGTACTGCAATAGTCGGATTGTACAATTCTCCAAGAATGGAGTGTTTATCTCACAGTGGGGAGAAGGTATCAAACAAGGATTTTGCTATCTAATTTTAAATTCTTTACTGTTGCAACTATCAGTGAAGCAAATAATAGAATAGAATTATATTTGAGAGTGAAGAAAGCAAGTCATTCTAGACTCATTAATTTACAAGCACAATAATAAAAATTCACATATACAAGATGTCCCCGAAAGTCAGTACACTTTAATGGCTTAAAACTGCAATAAGATTTTTAAGATGCCTGATGTCTATCTAGATGCTTAGATATTCAAATGGATCAATTTTTTTCATCTGGGTGGGTACTTCCTCCACTGATGCAGAGTGCTATCCCTCCATTCTTAACTTGAGTAATTGTTGTCCATATGGTTACGTGGATTCCCCATAGAGGATTCAGCCAATGCTCTTGAGGCCTCCCACTGGTTCTTTTAATATTTTGTGGGTACAAACTATTGTAGCACTTGGACTGTCCATCTCTTATCTCTGAGTAGCCCACCTCCTTTTCTGATTGTATAGGCCCCAGATGATGTCTCATGAGCAAATTATCATTGGTAATATGCCATAACTGTGAAAACATATATCCTGTGTCTTCTTTCTTGAGTGACCTTGGGTCAGCAACAATTTTGACCCTTCTAACTCTTTTGACTCTTCTGTGGCATTTCATGATTCACAACCATATGAACAATCATTAGTATTCCTGAAATATTTAACAACAAAAAGTATACTGAAAATAAAAATAATCTATACACATTTATCCTTCCTTGAAAAAAAAAAGGAAGAAGACTCCTAATGTGTTTGTGGTTAAGTGAGACTATGGATAAACCTATAAGGTGTTTTTTCTCATTGACCGTCAAAACTACAGAGTTTATGTCATACTAAATTTTCCAGAAATGAACTTGAGGATGGTATATGTATATGTGTGTGTGTGTGTGTGTGTGTGTGTATACACACACACATATATATATATATGTGTACGTGTGTGTGTGTGTGTGTATAATGTGTCTGATATTTTCTATTATAGAGTCTTCAGGGAACAATCCTAAACCAGGCCACTTCCAAGTTCCTCACAGCTTGACCCTTGTGCCTCATTTTGGCCAGCTGTGTGTGGCAGATAGAGAAAATGGTCGTATTCAGTGTTTTAAAATGGAAACCAAAGAATTTGTGCGAGAGATCAAGCATCCAGCATTTGGAAGAAATGTATTTGCAATTTCATATATACCAGGTATTTAATATTTCTTTCTTTTTATTATTTTTATCATGTTAGGCTTCACCTATAAAATGTATTTTCCATACCTTCATGTTCTGTTTCTTTACCTTTTCCTTGTCACTGTCTTGTGTATCAGATCCAATTTTTTTGTATATCTGAATCATTTTCATCCCTTCAATTGTAAGGAACAGGGAATTTATTTTAAAAAGAAATAACTACAATTTTTTAAAAAATCCTCCTACCGTATTGATTTTTCATTAATTCTGGTCTTGTATGCTGGCAATTTAGTGATTAATATATCTGCTATTATCAACAATTGTTAGTGTATGATGAAATCAATAATCAAAATGTATACATTTCTTTTACACTCAAAGGGAAAAGGAAGAAATGAATAATATACACCCCCCCAAAAAGGAAATCTATAAAATAGTGATGTTTTCAACTGATATCTAGAGAGGCTAATAAATACTTGAAATATTTTTATTTTGTCTTTATCTGCCAAGATATTTTCAGCCTGTAAGCTATGTGCAGCTCTAAACTCAAAACTAGGTGGTAAGCTTCCTTTAGCCTCTCTATTAACTGAAAGATACACTGACTGAGAGTGTCTCTCAATCTTCAGATACTCCAAAACACAGATCATTAGTTAGGACTGTCTTTTGCCCAATCATCAGCAGGTGGTGATGACTTCATCTCTTGGTATGGTAGACTGGCCCACTTTGACTTTTTTTTTTAAAGTCTAATAGTATACACATCATTCCATTCTCCTTTGGTACCATCTCTAAAGGCAGTGCTTATGGGTTGGCAAACTCTTTGATGATGCCATTAATCAGCAAGTTATGGAGATAGTCTCTGAGGACATCCATCACAAAGGGCTTTTCCTGTATCTTTCCTAGAATGGTTAGGAATTGGTTAGCTGAGTCTTTGAGTTTGCTATTTAAACACATCTGACCTCCTACTCTTGTAGGAAGAACATTAACTGTCCTCTTGCTGGGCTTCTGTCTTAACTACTTCTTCTGTTCTTCTGGTACTGAGGAATCTTCCAAAGTCAAATTTGTGTGGATCCGCTTCAGAGATTGAAGAGCCAGTTATATTCATTGTCACCATTTGATTCCCTCCTTCTATAAGCCTCTACATAGGTTATATACATCATCCAAGTATGCACAGTATTGTGCTAATATTTTGAAGAGATTGGAATTCATTTCAATTAGAAATACTCCATTAACATATTGGACCTGTTCGCACCAGAACCAAGGTGCCTACTGCCTTGTTGATACCACCATTTTCTTTCAGAAATTCCAGAGTCACTGAAATGCATGCCGAGTTTGAGTAGTTTTTGTCACTCATTTCTTTAAAGTCAAATCCTTCTAGAGGTTGTAATGGTGTGTTAATGTTATTCAAATCCCTCTCATAAAATGACTGGAGTATGATGGTCATCTGTACTCCTCTATCCAGGACAATAGAATAGTCCACATCACCAATTTTCAGTGTTACCTTCCTAAAGGGCCTATGACACTAGGTAGAAAAGACCCAGTAAGAATTATTGATGAGGTCAGATTCATTGCTTATGGGGCCCCAGACAACTTCCTTCTTTAGCCCTATCCCCATCTCCATTTACTGAAATTGATCCTATAATCCTTAGCTTTCCATACCATCAGAGCTACATTCTCTTTACAAGTATCCATGGCCTCTATGTGACCATCTTTTCCATGGCTACAACAGGAGGAGGTTCTGCTTTTCTGGTTTTCTCCTGGTGGGGCAGTATTTGTATGTCAAACTGGCTTGGCCTGCACTTCCTTGTCCAATGCCTTTCCAGGTGGAATGGGTATGCTTCCCACTAGATTTTCTGTTTTTCTTCAATTGACTATGCACCTTCAAGACTGTCCTCCTGCCTAGTTACATTAGATCATGTAATAGCAGATGGTCTTGAGGTGGATGAGGTTCCATATCTAGGAGAGTGGGCCTCTTGTTTGACTTTCTCCATTAGTTCATATATCTTAACCTGTTTGTTTTTAAATTTCGTTGCATAGGGGCAGCTAGGTGGCACAGTAGATAGAGCACTGGCCCTGAAATCAGGAGGACCTGAGTTCAAATTCAGCCTCAGACCAAACACTTGACATTTACTGGCTGGGTGACCCTGGGCAAGTCACTTAACCCCAATTACCTAAAAAAAAAGTGTTGTGTGTCTGATGACCCCACTTTACAAAGAATCTCATAGCAATATGTCAAATCATTGCATCCTCAAATCTGTGCATAGCTTCCTTTTCAGGGGGAAGTATTCCTTTCTCAATGGTTGTCTGTCTATCCCCAAATTGCACAAGTCCTATATCCGCTATTTAGAAGACCGTAAGAGTTACAGTCAAAACTATAAGATTCTCTCTCAGTAAAGGGTAACAGTGGGGGAGGTGAAAAGGAAAGCAAGTATGCCTTTCCCTACTACCCTTGACAGTGAAGGGCTTGTCCTCTCTGTCTGTTTCATGTCTGTATCACAAGCTTTCCATGACTTCTCCCTTATAATCTCTCTGCACACACTTAATTAATAGACATGAATCACAACACAATTATGATTGGTCACAGCTTTATATGAAACAAATCAAAAATTAGAAGAAATTCTGTAGAAAATACTTACCAGATGGTTACATAATGGGGGGGGAGGTGCTAAAGCTTCCCTGTCTTTTGCCTGATCCTAAGGAACAACAGTAGCCTGAAGCATCAGTCTTTTCCCAGTAACATTTTCAGAGTTTTGTTTTTTTTCAAAAAGTGAAGGGCATGGACCCTGTTGCCAAGCCCAGAATTCCCAACCTCTAATCTCTAAGCACACGTCACAAAACATTTTGAAGGGCTTTTCACTCTTTCTTTCCGTCCTCCATTCTGCTCTTGGCACCATCCTTGCCCTTCTAATCCAAACTCAAACTGAACTTTGCATTCCCATTTCAATTTAAATTTTTTACTGATATCTTAATTAAAAAAAAAGTATCATGATAATTCTCAGTCAAAATATTTGAACAAGCAGAATGTTACATTTTTCCAATCAGTATGAATAAACAAAAACTTATTGCAATAAATGGTAAAAGATCAGCAGAAAGAATGCCGAGGAAATTTATGTGAAAGAGAAGAGGACCCTTTTTGTTGTTCTTAAGAAAAAAACTGAAGGATGGTGTAGTAGAAAGAGTGTTAGGTCTACAGCCAGAGCAGCAATGGTGGAATCTTGTCTAAACCTGTTTAAACTTGAGTAAGTCACTTATCCTCTCTCAGATTCAGATGCTAAAGCTGTAAAATAATAATTACTAATGAAGCATCTGGAGTAGATATCCTCTGAGTTTTTTTCCGGGCATAAATATATGATCCAGTATTTATGGGTAGATAATAAGATGATTCCAGTTTCATCAAACTGTGAAAACAAATTCCCAGATGGTAACACCATATTACCTTACTTTGTATCTTATTTCATTTATCCCCCTTTTCATTTTCACCTGATTTTAATTATAGTTTCCAGATAGTTATTGAGGAAATATTTATTTGCTCAGTAGTCTGAATAATAAGCTTAACTCTTATCCAGACACATGTAGCATGAATAAGTGAATTGAAATCTTTGCATGATCCACCATCACCACCCCTCAACTTAAATGTGTCCTCCTCTGGAATATCTTTTGGTACACATATTTCTAGTTTGCCTAGGAGAGATTATGTGGATGTTAGATCCATGCATCATTTAGCAATCACAGCGTTACTTAATTTTCACTGACTAATCAGCCTGCTAGCAGCTCATTTCTTTATTAATTCTCATCCTCGATTTTAAAGTAATCAAGTAGTGTATTTTGGTATTTCTTCATAAATTAATACAAATGCTCAATCTTTCTCACTACCAAGTCATAGTTATGAGCCTGCACTCTAGTTTATAAAATGAACCATTGAAATTTCCTCCTCCTCTTCCATCCCTCTCTCTCTTCTCCTCAGTTTCTTAGGTGTAAATGAGCATTAACATTATAGAATATAGAATTTAACTGCTTAATAAATAATACAATGACACATTTAAATATATCACCATATCAGCTGTAAAGAAGATCACAGCCAAAATTTCCAGTCATCCACTACAATTGCTGACTTCTCCATGGACAACTGGAACCATAGCTTCACCATTTAGGTCCCTTAGGATGACAGTTAAAGTCTCTTCTTAGGATGTCTTCTCCACAGAAGAAAATTTAAATTCATTTCTCTCAACAGGTCTCTTTAGACTCTTCCCCTGACAGCCCCTTTTGCATCTGTGATCTCATCATTTCATGCCTTCACCTCCTGTTTGACTCTTGTCCATGTTTTCCCAAAAGTTTCCCTTGAGGGAACCACCTGAAATGCTGGAGGAATTCTTTGTTTTCTTTCAGAATGGACATCAGAAGTGCTCTCTGGTTGTCCACCTATCATCCCTTGCTCTTGCCACATTACCAGCCAGTCTTCTCTTCCCATCATATAGTTCCCTGATGGTGTCTTTAACTTCTGTTTTTGGTTGTAGGTTGCAGCTCAGTTAAAGCTCTCATCATCTCAGCCACTGAGATAGCCTCCTAATAGCCTCTGCTTCTATTCCCCTTCCCTCTCCCACCATCATGCACTGCCAATTTGTTGTTCTTAAAACAGATCTAAGGAGTCTTAATGCAGATCAAAGCTTACTTTTTCACTTTATTTTTCTTGGCTTTTTTTGTCTGTTTTCTTTTGCAACATGGCTTATATGGAAATATATTTTGCACGACTGCACATGTATAATCTGCAAATTGCTTGCCTTTTCAAGAAGGGGGGAGAAGAGGGAGGAAGTAAGAGAATTTGGAACTCAGAATTTTTTTAAATGTTAAAAATTGTTTTTATCCATAATTGAGAAAAATAAAATTTTTAAAAAACCAGATTTGACAGTATTACTCAATTGAACATCTTCATTAGCTCAATATTGCCACTGGTATAAAATATAAAACCAACATGGCTCCTAATCTTGCTTCATTTGTTTTACTCCCCTTCACAAATTGTTTATTCTGGTCAAGTGGTGACCTACCAGCTACATTCCTCATATATCATATTCCATGCATGTCTCTGTACCTTTGCACAGGTAGTCCCACATGTCTGAAATATACTCCTTCCTCTTCCCTACATTTTAGAATCCCTAACTAATCTTAGCAAGCTCAGATGTCACTCTCAACTAGAGACTTTTCTTGATCACTTTAGTCATTAGTGATTTCTCCCTCATAAAGCGATTTTGTATTTTTTAATGTGTTTCTATTCACTTATCTGTTTGGATCTTGTATCCTCTGAGTAGAATTTAAACTTCTTGAGGGCAGGGACTGTTATATTTTTGTATTTATATCCCTAGGTCATTGAACAGTGTAGAAATTTACACATAATAGATATTTAATACATGTTTGTTCAGCTAAATTGTTTCAATGTCAGACTCTTCCAAATTCCAAAGGAATATAACTATGTGTTTTGTTACAGGTTTGCTCTTTGCAGTGAATGGAAAACCTCACTTTGGAGATAAACAGTCATTGCAAGGATTTGTAATGAACTTTTCCAGTGGGGAAATTATAGATACCTTCACTCCAGTGAGAAAGGTATTTTTATAAACTTGTTTAAGTCTTTTCTAGGCACAAAATTAAAATAATCTTTTCGTACATCGTATCCATTATCCTTAACTTTTTAAACAATTTTAGGTGCAAGTATCAAGGCATGACATGTCAACTGGTTATTAACTAATGGATGGATACCAGTACATTCTAATTAGTTTATAAGCACCCCCACAAAAAAAAAGGCAAGGGTAGGGGAAGAAGATGACCGGTATGCCTCTTCTCAAATGATCCAACTTCTGGGGCAGCTAGGTGGTGCAGTGGATAGAGCACCGGCCCTGAAGTCAGGAGGACCTGAGTTCAAATCCAGCTTCAGACCAAGCACGTAACACTTACTAGCTGTGTGACCCTGGGCAAGTTACTTAATCCCAATTGCCTAAAAAAGCAAAAAATAAAAAAATAAAAATAAATAATCAAATGATCCAACTTCTAAAGTCCTTAATAGAGGTTTTTTTTTTTACCCTTACATAACTAATAGATTAATTATCATTGTCTGCTCCCTCATCCCAAGTGCCACTCAGTGTTTTGTGTGACTTTAAGGTTCTTAGTAGACTTTCTATACCCAAGAATATTTTAATTTCACTTAATTCAAAGTACTCAAATTTTTACAACCGATGAAAAATTTGAGGCTCAGATAATGTATGTTGTGTGTCCATAGGCACACAACTGATAAATGTCAGAAGTGGAATTTGAGCCCTGTCTCACCTAATTCCAAATGTAGCATAGTTTCTGTCACACCACACTGCCTCCTCTGTGCCCTAGATCATCTCTGACCCCATGGAAGGTGTTGCATGAGTAAATTTTGTAGAATTTAAGTAGAAGATTGGTTACAGTTGGCAATTCCCATGTAGCTGTTATAGTGCATAGAGTGCTGTACTTGGAGTCAGGAAGGCCTGAGTTCAACTCTTGTCTCAGTCACTTACTATCTTTTTGACCATGAGTAAGTAATTTAATTTCTTACAGGTTCACTGTCCTCATCTGTGAAAATGGGGATAATAATATCACCTGCCTTACAGGATTCTTGTGACAATCAAATGAGATAATATATGAAAAAGAAAAACACTTGAAAAACCTTTAAGTTACATATAAATACTAGCTATTATTATCTTTACACAGGATGTATAAAACTAGAAAGAACTGAAATAAATGGAGAGACAGATAGTAATGAGTGTCTGTATGTGTAGTTATGTATGTCTGCATGAAACATTTGGTCTTTAACTTGCAGGAAATCTCCTTATATATTTGATTTTACACATCATATAAGTTTCCAAGTATACACAGCTTTATGATGACAACTTAATTAAACAAAAAATCTAAGATAATTCATACAATGCATTTGGTGTATTAGATAAAAACAGCTAACATCCATAAGTCTGCCATAATATCAAAGCCATTTTACTTAAAGGAAAAGTAAATTTATCTGAGTTATACTTCTTTTAAAATCTGCTTTTTTCCCCTTCAAGCCTGATGCAGCATCCTAGATATTACATTGCATTTTCCTTTGACTGGTTCATTAATACAGACTGTTTAAATACGTTCATCTTAAAATTTTTAATTTAGAGGTTTTCCATCTTTAAAAAAGCAAACATCAAAGTAGAGAAACAGGATTCTTGTTCAACAGTTAGTCTTTGCTCCCCAGTAGAAATTGGAAATTAAAGAAAATCTAGTCCTATGCAGTTGTGACTAAATGGCCTCACCTCTCTGAACCTGTTCGCTCATACATGCAAAGGGACTCGTATTTTGCACTTCTAACCTCAGAAGTTTATAATGAGGAAAAGCTATATAAATATCCAGTCTAATCCAATCAACATTTATTAAGCACCTACAACATGCCAGGTATTGTGCTAAGTGCTGGGGATATAATAAATATAGTGAAAGATATAGGCCCTGCCCTCAATGAGCTCACAATCTAAAGGGGGAGGCAACACACAAAGGAGGCAGAAAAGTGGAGTGGGGATGTGGAAAAGGACACCAGGATACTTAGTGAGGGATCATCTTATTCAGTGAAGTTGAAACCAGGCAGCACAGCAGATGCAAAGTGGAGTGATATATACATACATACATACATATACATATGTATATATTGTATATCTATATATGTGTGTGGTATACTTATAAGGATTATTATTGTAAAATAACTGCTCTACTAAATACCACTCTGACATAAAGACAAAATGAAGAAAAAAATTTAAAGATAACATTATTTCTATCAACTAACATAAGTCAGTTTGCGAAAAGGTACTGAATGATGATGAGGGTTATGCTTATTTAATAAGTGTAGGGAAGGCTATGGAAGAAAGGTACTCATTGCCCATGTATGAATTTCTTTACAAAGGACTTCTCTGATTTTGCATTTGATTATTGACTCACTTTTTTTGTTTGTTTGCTTTTTGGACTGGATCAGTGATTTCATTGAGGTAGAGAATTCCTCTTCTCATGCAGAACAGCATCTATTTTGCAACTTAGTGTGAGTCTTAGCACTTGGAAGTGACATAGCATAAGTTGCCTAACCAAAATGCGTCAGAAGACAGACTGGAAGGAATTATATTACTTTGGCTCATGAGCAAAAGAGATGAAAGAACCTATAAAAAGCGCTTGTAATGATAACAAACTTCAGACATGTCAGGAGGGGAAAAAAAGGCAACTGCTTTCTATAGTGTGGAAGATAATGAACTTCATGGTGGGTCTAAGAACACTATTTGTTTTGGAGGACCTAGTGTGGCAGAGTGGAAAGAACACCAAACCAGGAGTCCACAAGCCTGGAATTCAGCCTCTGCTTTGTTCCTTACCAATTGTTGCTCTTGGGAAAAATGCTTCACCTCATTGAAGTTTGTTTTCCTCATCTGTAAAATGAGACTAATAATGCAGCTTCAGAGAGCTGTTGTGAGGATAAAATGGAATAATAAAATGTCTTATAAGTGTAACAAGAAGAATCTGTTGATTTTGATGGAGAAACCTTGATTTTAGGAAGGTATGGTTTTCCATTATGCTGGAAGAAAAGAAATTGAGAATCAAGTTCTAGGAGCAAGAAGTCTGACTCACTACTTGGTTACCATGCTGGATTCTGTTTCCTCTTGATAATCATATGAGTTTCTAATGTCATGGTCATTGTCCTCTTTAAAGTAGGGTCATTCAAGTCTTGTCATTTACTCCCTCTCCCAGAAGTCTTTGCAAAGCCAACTCCATTTGAAAGGAAAGAGTAGTTAATAGTTGGGGTTTTTTAATTCTGTTTTATTTTTCCAGACTTCAGGTGCTGGGGGAAAGATAGGGAAATGTGGCAGAGTGGGAAAATACTGGATTTGGAGTCAGAGGACTTGGGTTTAAGTCCTTGTTTTGCAACTACTACCTGTATGTCTTGAGCAAATCATTTATGCCCTGTGGGTTTCAGTTTCCTCTTATAAAATGAGGGTAGGATTAGATGATTTATAGACTATTATGTTTTGTTTGATTTTATGGCATGGCATTGGTTATGTCTGTGACATTTGTTGCTGAGGTTTTGGTCAGGAGTGTAGCCTGTGACCTTGATAGTTTTCTGCAGGGGAAATGTGATCTGCTTTCTAGTATATTTTACAAAGTACTTTCCAGAATTATACCGTGATAAAAAAGCAGGGATTGTCTTCTCAGTCTAACTGAGAAAAGGGTACTGTCTAATTTTTTGTGTGTGTTTGTGTCCCTAGCATCCAACACGGTGCCTGGGACATACTCCTTCACTAAATGTTTATTAAATTGAATTGAATGATCACATTTGCAAGTCTGGCACCACCAATTTGTTGAACCCAGTGGGGAAAACACTTGAGTGCAAGGACAGAACTGTGAGAGATCAGTATTCAGTAATGATCAGTAATGTTTCCATTATACCTACATGCCCTTTCATATTTGCACAGCCCATATGCTTTTGTTAGTATGCTTAGCTGATTTTTTTCAATTTTATTACTAATTTTTGTTAATTTTTAATTTCAATAGACTGTTTCAAGGCATATTGTCCTCATTCATTCTTAAATTGTGCTAAGAAAAGCAGTTAGCTCTATTACCACACTTTGACCTCGGCACAACCTAAGGCATACAGATGTTAGCTGATAAGCACACATCCTGGTTATTGCTTATTATTTTCATAATTATGTATTCAAGCATGTCTTCTGGACTAAAAATTAGATGGAATTCCCTATATCCTGCCAAGCAGAACACATGAACCATATCTGGAGACTTCTGAAAACAGATGGAAATGTCAGGAACTCAAAATTGCAATCTTGCCCTTTCAGGAATTAGCGTAATCAATCAATCAATCGACAAGCATATGATGACCCTGAGCAAATCATGCAATATGATTTTTTTTGTAGCTCCATCTGTCCTTATGTAGGAAATGAAGATAATTTGAAGACACCATGAATGCAGATTCATTATGTCAAACATTTGAGTACAGGAAGTATGGATAACTACTTAGTAAGCAATTATATGTAGCATTCAGTTTACTTTAATTGTTGGTTTAAAATATTAGAAGCTGTAAATTTCATAAGTAATACAAAAATCTCACATGTAGTATGTCTACCAAAATGAATCCAAATGTCTTATGCCTTTGAAATTACTTCTTTGAATAATCATGGTCAAATTGCTTTTAAAAAATACTCACATTGAAGTATTTTAAGAATGCCTAACAACACAAGTGATTGTGATCCTAACCCTTTTGAAGCTTCCTGTGTAACAAAATAGACAGCTTTGATGGTGCAAACATCTTGAAGGAAAATTGAGAGAATAATAGCAGAGAATTGCCAAAATTTCATACTTGTTGTTTTGGCAGAATAATTTTTAAAAAAATTTGTGGATTAATTGTTGTGGAAAATTCCCAGTATAGATGGTCATAGAGAGTTGCCTAGGGGACTGAGGAATTAAGCACTGGCTCATGGTCATACAGCTAATGTATCTCGGAGTCAGGACTTGAGCCTAGATCTTAATTCCAAGATTGGTTTCTATCCACCATGTCTTCATGTCCCCCTAGGAAGCATAAATATAAAGTGAATATTAATAATATAAAGGATTTTCCTTATGGATATGAAGTAGATAGTGCATGTACTAATATCCTCATTTTATAGATAAGGGAACTGTGGCTCAAACATAAGTGATCTAAGGTCACCTAGTTAATTAAATATCAAAAGTGGTATCCAAGCAGAGGTTTTCCATGTCCAGTGCTGTTTCCACTATACAACATTTACACTCACACACATGTAGACACACACACACATCATGCTGCTCCATAGGAAATTAAGAGACAATTTAATAGCAAGGATAGTTCTATTTTTAAAAATCAATCTATCAGTATGTAAATATTTGCCATTGAAAAACATGAGAAACCAAAAATGAATTTCTCCTCTTCATAGACTCCTTGCCTACCTGAGAAGATAGATATCAGGGTCTGAGCTATTGCTTCATGTAGTTGTCACTTTATTCTGATTTCTTTCTGTCTTTTGTTTCTGAGTTGCCATGAGAATTTACAGTTTTCTCTTTCGGCAGCATTTTGACATGCCCCATGACCTTGTCGCCTCAGAAGATGGAACAGTGTATGTGGGAGATGCTCATGCAAACACTGTATGGAAGTTCACCACCACCGAAAGTAGGTTTTTTTCTAGTTGCATTGTATATGTTTGCTTTTCTTGGCTGAGCTGCTCAAATAAGAAAGCACAAGTGTCTCTGGAGAAATCTTTTTTATTAAATTACAGCATAGCTATGCAATTCAGTTCTATGTTTTAGCTAATTAGAAAAAGCAACTTTTTCCCTGGCACAGTTATACCTCTATTTCCTAAGCTATTTTACAGGAAAATCTTAGCCCCTGATGCAATGCTTAATGCACTGAAAACCAAGTCAAATCCAACTTTGTTTCAGAGGCTGAAGATTGATTTGGCTGGGTAATGTGCCTTGTATACTTTTATTATTTCAACATTGTTTCCCAGTTGCTCTTCAATTATCAGGAGCTGCTGAGCTTCCTGGAAACCCCAATTTGTATTGGGTACAACAGAATCCCAAAGAGGAAACACCTTTTTTCTTTCAGCGAGGGTTCAGTTTCCTCCAAATACAAGACTGCTAAATTTACATGCACTCTTAGAGTTCACCTGGGGCAAAAATTTTGCTTTATCCAGCTATAGTCGTTTAGTCCTGAGATTTCTTATCCTGTCACTTGCATTTTGCTTCTACTTCCCATGTATCCATTGTAACAAACTTGTTGTTAACAAGTATGGCGTTTCCCTAGGTCAAGTATATGGAATACTAGTCATACATGTGTGTGTGTGTGTGTGTGTATTATGTGTGTATATATACATATAGACACACACATATATACATACATACATATATGTATGTATATATGTGTATGTGTGTATATTTACACATAAGCATACACACACTGGGTTAGAATCAAGAATAAGGCATGGACCTATCTAAAACATCAAGAGCAGGGACTGGCAATTACAGATAATAGTCTTATAAAGTGTCTTCCTTACAGTGATCCTATGAGATACGTTGTCCAAATATTATCTCCATTTTGCTGAGGATGAAACTGAGACACAGAGAACTTAAGGGTCACATAACTAGTAATTAGAAGGGATACAAATTTGAAGCTCTCTTGATTCTAAGTCCAGTACTTTCTATATAGCAAACTATTTCTAAAAGAGGATTTCCTCTTCTGGATCTGTATGACCCAAGAGAATCCACTTACCTCCTTGAACTGGAATAGGTTATGATAGGAACCTGCGAACTTGAGAAAGATAAAGAACATTTAGCCACAGCCAGAGAGATGACATCAAATCAAAAAGGAATCTATAAAATGTAATCAGATTACAAAATTGTTTCATAAGCAAAAATAAATTGGTAGAATTTTTAGAAACTTCCCAAATCACTTTTCCATTTTATGATAAAGGTCTCAGATGAAGTTGAGAGCAGGTAAGGGTAATTCCCTGTGTTTCATCACTATGACATCAGTTAGCATTTAGTATATCTTAGAGTCACTTAGACTAGCTGAATCATTGCTGAGAAAAGCTACCAGATGTGGGGAGGCAGTATCATATTGGGCTAAGACTCACTAAGCTAGAAGAGGCTCATCACTAGCTCTTAAGTCATTAATTATTAATTATTTGGCTACATCAACCCATAATACAGATAAAGGTGAAAAACGCCTCTCAGCTCTGTTTAGCCCTCTCTACTTCTACAATGATGGCAGAAGTGGTGGAGTGGCAAAAAGGGGGGCAGAGCCTGCTAAGTTTTTGAACAAAAAAAAAATTTAATTTTGCCTATTCTACTTAAACCGTCTCAAACACTGGTAACCAGAAGTTATATAACTTTACAGATGAGTTTAGACACTTTCCATTTAGAAATAAGACTACTTGATCAATCCATCCTGTGTTCTGAGGGTCCTAAGGATAAGCTCAGTATATATATATGTAGTGTCTACATGACATCACCTTAACTTTCCTTAGTGGGTCTAATTCCAGGAGTCATAGAGAGATGATCTAATCCATGGTTTGTACTTGAATACTTTGTAACAGTAATAATGAATATAGTTGACAAATTAGTCTTCTAAAATAAAATTATTATCAAAATTTCTGCCTTCAAATGTCCTCTTTTGCCTTATTTGTGTTTTTCTGTGTTACAGAAATGGAACATCGATCAGTTAAAAAGGGTGGCATCGAGGTGGATGAAATCAAAGGTTGGTCAGATTCCCATTAGTACTGTGCAACCAAGCCAATTCATGATGGGTCTTTTTGTGGTTCACAGTAGCACCTGTAAAAAAAAAAAATCAAGATAAAAATAACAACTGATCTGGTAATTTGTCCATGAAGTATATTATGTGTTGAACCTTTAACTTCACACTCACTTGTTGCTGCTGCTTTTTTCCTAATAAACAGAGTTGTAATAATGAGTTCAAACGCCCTGACCTCAAGCAATGGAAAGTGTCAGAGGCTGTAAAGGATCTGTACTGAGTATGCCAGATCTATTTAGAGAGCAAAGGGTCAGTCATTTCTTTTTTGGAAATCCATGAACTTTTTCAGATAAGCAGAAAGAGCCATGCAAAGAATATAAACAGCAGTTTGCTAATGGGTTCTAGCAGTATACATTAGTATTTAATGCATTACTGTTGCAGCCTAATTGCCAAAAGAAATTAATGCAAGTCCATAAGCACTTCTCTTACTATCAAGATGTATATAGCCACAGGGAAGCAGTAAGCTCATTTTGACTCAGAATTAAATGATTTACTATCTTTCCAAGGATCTGCCCACATTTATATCTGTGCTACTGATTTTAAACTCTGAGGTATGATTAGAACAGTTAAGAATTGTCATTAATCTCATTTCAGCAGCACACCAACTGAGTTAATAGTTGCTTTAAAATGATTCTCCTGGAATTTTAAATTTGCACTTTAGATTTAATTGTTTTTCTTTCCCACGATAGAAAGTTGAACAAAAATGAAAAGAAATAAGGACAAAGGGAGTTTAGGGACTTGAAGTAGACAGATATAAAAATTTAGCTAGCTCAAAGTTGAAAGGGATAAGATAATATAATAAAATAAATAACAAGTAACCTCAAAAATTTCGGTGTATTATACAATTTAAAATTTTAGGTTATAGTCACATGAGGCAAGCATATAATTTTCTATATTTGAGAGAAGGATCTTTTCCCCATATTTCTGATGATGACACATACAGCATTATAAATATATTTGGTAAACAAGGAACATGAGGTGGGTAGCTAGACATTTATAAGGATTCTACATCAACACCAGTTACAGGCCACTCTGAAGACTTAAGGCCATTTCAGTTAAGATGGTGATGTGAAAGGTTATAGAAAAGCCCAACTCCCCTGTAAACTTCAGAAAATATCTGAAAAGGGCCCCAGAAAGACTAACGATAAAGAAATCTGAAAAATAAGCTTATCTCTCCATTCAGTAATTACACAATAAGATGTCCAGAAGCCTGCAAAGGCAGGTAGAGGCATCTAACTGAAAAAGATAGTATGAACACAAACACAGATGCTTCAATGGCAGGATGTGGGCACAGGGTGGGGCAGGGGAAAGATATCAAGCTAATGAAATCATCATAAATTCCATAACTGGACCAAAACCAGTGAAGTAAGTACAGGAAAGAAGCTATCCGGACCTCCCATAAATGGGTCTAAAGTTAACTAGTCTTTTGCATAGATGTGTCACAAACAAGCTCCTGGGATCAGGCACTTGAATCGAGATCCAGGGCCTGGCTTGTAACAACAAAAGCAGAGGACATAACTATCCCCCATAGGTCACTGAACAGGGAGATACAGAGAAGCCATAGAATCCCCTGAGCACTAAGAACCAGAGAAGGAGAGAGGGCCAAGTCAATACATAGGAACCATTATCAGGAGGCTTATGCAAGAGTCCAGAGACTGAAGTCATATCCAGCATCCTACTGAGGCCTGCTACACAAGAGCAGAGGTTGGAATTAATTTCCAATTGAGGACTGTGCAAAAAGAAGGAATAAGAGACCAACTGAGGACAGAGCCTGCAGGTGACCACTAGGAAGCTGAGATTGAGTCACAAACAGTTACCCCAACCACCGATAATCATCAGTGGCAACCAGATCACAGAGAGGATAGGACTTAATAAAGTCTACTCAACCCTACTAAGAGTGGCCTGGTGTGAGCACAAAATCCCAGACGAAGAAGTGAGGCTGAAAATATTAATAAAGAGAAGAAAACACCAAGGGGCTTTTGATTCAGAGAGAAAAACTGGCTGGGCCACAAGGACTGTTAGACTGGCTGGAAGAAATAAAGCAAGAGGGCAGCTAGGTGGTGCTGTGGAAGGGGTCCAGCCTTGGAATCAGGAGGACCTGAGTTCAAATTTGGATTCAGACACTTGACACTTACGAGCTGTGTGACTGTGAGCAAGTCTCTTAACCAATTGCCTCACCAAAAAGCAAATTAAAAAAAGAGAGAAATAAAGCAACAATGTTAAAAAATCAATGAGAGTTTATATAAAGGAGAATAAATAGCTTAAAACAGAAAGAAGGAAATCACATGGTAGAGTCCATGAAAATTAGAAAGGAATAAACAGAACTCAGTGACTCCAAAACACAAAAAGAAATACTTGAACAAAGTCAAAAACTTGGCAAAATAGAAAAAATATAAGATATTAACTTTTTAAAACTAATCTGGAAAAGAGTTCAAGGAGAGGTAATTTAAGAATCTTCACACATCCTGAAAACCATAGCCAAACAAAAAAAATATATAATTGTATATTTTCAAGGAATTATAAATAGAAATCTACTAGATTAGGACTAGAGGGCAAAATGAAAATAAAAGAATGCACAGATCACTTCCTGGGGGGAAAAAATCCAAACTGAAAACTCACAGGAGTTCTCATGTTTTAATAGAAGAAGAAGAAGAGATAAGTGTCTGAAAAATCATTATGTTTTTAGGGGTCAGAGAGGGAACTAAATGAGAATGTTTTGTTGGTTTGAAGAGGGAAAAGAAAAAAAAAGACCAAAAAGGCATACATTAGAAAAGAAATGAGGAAGAAAGAGAGGGAACTTAACTGTTTTGTACAAATGGAGTGCATGAAGCCAAAAATATAGAAACCTAAGGAAAGTGGTAGGGGGAACAGCCATATCATACCTCTCTCTGTCTGAACTGGATAAAAGAAGATTAAATATACACAGATACACACAAATGCATTAAACTGAACAATGATACAGGCTGAGAGTGGTAAAAGGCAAGGGAGGAATATAAGATGAAGAACAGAAGACAATAGAGTCATGGAGGGAATAGTGAGAGAGAGAATTTCTCAGCTGTGCATGTCATACAGCATAAAATTTTAACATATGAAGAAAGGTAGAAATATTAAGCACCTCCTTTACTGAAAAGAACACAGTTAAAACTAGGATTAAGAAAGGGCCTATGAAGGAAGGATTCATGCTTAAATAGATGCAGTGGATAGAGCACCAGCGCTGGAGACAGGAGGACCTGAGTTCAAATTCAGCCTCAAACACATGGTACTCACTAGCTGTGTGACCCTGGGCAAGTCACTTACCCTGATTGCCTAAATAAGTAAATAGAAACTATAAAAAATTAATCCTGAAGTTTGGTGGGCTAAAGAACATATCATAGAAACAATGGATAATGCCAACCATAAAATATCATACCAAAACTTTGGGGAAATAGCTAAAATAATCCTTAGGGGAGAATTTATATCTCTAAAGATATTCAACAAAATAAAAAAGATCAATGAATTAGACATGGAGATAAAAAACTAGAAAAGGCAATTAATCAAAAATTCCAATGAAACACAAAAATAGAAATTCTGAAAATCAAGGAAGAGATCAACAAGCTGGGAGTAATCCAGGACTGGGAAGAGAAAAGTAGCAACAGGACAAAGGGGCCAGAGATTTGAGCAGAAGAAAGTATAGAGTTGAAATGGCTGACTCTACTGAGTTGAAGTTGGAGAGAGGAAAGTGAAGTAAAAGGGTGTGATGCTCTGAGAAAGCACTGTGGGGTTGAGGTACTGAAACTTTTAATGAGGGCAAGAAAAAAATCTGTGTTAGGAGAGGTGAAACATAGGGAATGGTAGAATTATTGGAGGTTGTGGTTAAGTAGAGGACTGTCAGAATTTCTCATTAGAGAAAGTGGAGCATTATGGATCATGAGAGGGTCTAATATGTGACTATGCTTATGTGTGGATAAGGTGGAGTGAAGGAGTAGATTATAGAATTTAAGGAGGTTGAAGAACTGAGAAGTTAGAGGTTTGGAAGGGAGTATGTAAGTGGATATTAAAGCCCCCTGGTGTGAGGGCAGTATTTGTGGAGTAAAGAAACATAGTGAACCAGGTACCAAACTCCTTGTGGGGGAGGGTCAGTATACTAAAGCTATCATAATTCAAATTGGGTAGAACTTTTATTTTTTTCAGTTGTTTAACATTTTTATTTGAAGTTTTGAGTTCCAAATTCTATCCTTCTTCCCTCTCTTCTCCTCTCCCTGAGACAGTAAGCAATCACATGTAAGTTATACATGTGCAATTATGTAAAACATTTGGGTGGAACTTTTTAATTGAATGTACTTCAAATGGGGAAAGGTTTTGGGTACAAGAGATAAAGCAAGAGGTCTGTAAATGACAATGGGAAACAATGATCAGTGGGGAAATTTGAGAAGTTATCTACTCTGTAGTGGAGGGGAAAGCCAGTGATTCAGTGTCATGCATCAGCAGAGATGGTCCTTGTGAGGGCTAATAGAAGAATATGAGAGAAAGAGACTCAGATTAAAGAACAGTTTGTTCACTATGGAATGGGAATTCTAGAGGTCACAGTAGAAGGGGTCAGCAGGACTGGAAAAAGACATAATTGGGGTAGAGTTGAGGGGAGTGAGTATAATAGAACAAGAAAAAGGATCTAATGTGTTTTCTCTTAAATGGCCTATGACTATTAAGAATAATAAAATGTATAGAAAAAGAAATGAAAGAAACTATATGGGCAATCATGGGTGGCAGATGAGTAGATAAACTCACTGTTTTTAAGATGATAATGTAGAAGAATTTAGGAAAGGCTCAGGACTATCCTTTCACCAGTGTTGCTGGTGAAAGGGAGCTGGGTAATGAGAGATTGTGGGAAATGATAACCAAAGGAAGGATATACATTGCCACTATTATTATTTAATGTAGTTTTAGAAATATCAGAAATAAGAAAAAAATTGAAGCAATAAGCATAAAAAATAAAATTATCTCTCTTTGTAGATGATATAACTGCTTAAAGAACTCGAGAGATTCAATTTAAAATTAATATAATTAATTCAGTAAACATAAATATATAAAATAAGCCCATAAAAATAATTAGTCTTTCTATACAATACTAATGAAACAGCAGAGAGATGGTTACAGTAGCCACACACACACACACACAAAAAAATAGCATTCTAGCAGTGAATCAGCTTTAAAAAAATAAAAGTTATAATTACCATATAGTCAAATTTCACTGTCCTAGGAAAGTGGATTATAGTGTGTAAGTATACAGCACCCAACAAGAATATTTAATATTTATATTTTTTTTTTTCCATTTTAAGTAGTGTAAGTTGTTTGGAGATATATGTGTGTGTGTGTGTGTTGTGTGTGTGTGTGTGTGTATTCCAAGCACCTTTTTTTATGTCTCATGAAGTATTTAACGCTTGTATATTTCAATAACTTCTAGTAATGTGTATGAAATGTTGTTTAATGTGCCACTCTTTTTTAAAAATATGTTTTATTTCTTCCCCGATTACATGTTAGAACAATTTCTGACATTTTTTAAAAGTTTTGATCCCCAAATTCTGTGTCTCCTTCCCCTTCCTCCTCCCTGGAACAATTAAGGTGTTACTCTTGTCATGATTATCAAGACTTCAAGTGATGTCTGGCACTTCCGGGTACGTTTTTATGACAAGATTAGCAAGGCAGATGAGCCTTGTTGTGGATGACTTGCAAGGACAAGTGGGTTGGAAGTGTTAGAGCAAGCACAGATATTTTGTGTGTGTACATGTGATGGGGAGAGGAGTTTGACTCTTTTTCTAAGTATGTCAATTTTCTTTTTTTGCAACTTTCCAGAGTATATCATTATACTATCTCAGCTTCTTCTTTATAAAATGCTGTGTACTTACAGATGTCTGTATAGATACTGTAAAAAAAACAAAACCAAACTTATTCTTTTTAATTTATTCATTGTTCAGCAATAAATATGGTTCCTTTTATTCCCATGATTTGACAAAATGTTGTAGATCAAGGGGACTTCCTTGTTTTTAGGAAGACCCTTTTTCCTATCCTGGTTTGAGAGCTTCTTTATCTTTTCTTTATCAGGAGAGCTCCAGATAGCCCATCATACTTTTTCATTCACAACTTCTTTGATACTTTATGTCTAGAATTCAGGGGTGGGGAACCTGTGGCTTCACATGTGGCCCTCTAGGTCCTGAAGTGTGGCTCTTTGACTGAATCCAAACTTCACAGAACAAATCTCCTTAATAAAAGGATTTGTTCTGTAAAACTTGGACCCATCAAGTGGCCTCACACAAGAACCTAGAAGGCCACATGTGGTCTCGAGGCCGCAGGATTCTATCTCCCCCCCCCCCCAACCCTGGTACAGATCATACCAGGAAAACTCCGAAGTAGCACGTAAAATCTTTTTGCCCTCAAATTCCATGATATTTTATCTCCATATCATATCCCTATTTAGAGATGGTTGTCCCCCCTTTAGGCATCAAAGAAGGTCTTGAATGCTAGGAAGGTGGGAGTGAGGGTAAAGGGTCCAGGTAATTCAGAGATATGGATCACCCCATTTCTACTACTCATTGTCATCAAACAATTATCTCTTCAATACCCTAGGAATAATTTAGGAAATTCTGCCTCAGAGAAATGAAGGAAACTGGTCTCCAAAAATCCATAAGACTATGTCTGTACATATTAAATGTAAACATAAAATTTTCTTCCTGATTTTTAAACTATTAAGTCCAACTACTTCATTGAAGTAGAGGCAAAGTATTTTTTATTTGCATCTTAAGGAAAGATAGTATATAGCACTCAGTCTGTCTTTGTGCAAAATTCAGAAACCTTGTGCTACTTTGTCAAATATACCTTTCATGCTCAATAAATGAAATTTATTAAGTTAGTTATTAACAATTTTGGCAATGACATTGGGCACCTTAGAGATCTCTATATAAGTTTACATGTTCCTTTCTTATCTATAATTTAAACTATATGTATTTGTATACATATAACATCTCCTGTGGAAGATTATAAGTTCCATTAATATAAGCTACCATGTTCTATTTGTTTTTGTATTTCACCCAGTACCTTACACAAGGTGCTTTATTAAAATTGAATAAGTGAATGAAGAAGGAATGAATATAAGCAAGCAAAATGGGGTAGGTGCCTAGACCTCATCTTATTTCCAGTGCTTTCTATGATTCTTAGAAGATCTCACTTATTTTCTTTGCCATATTCTCTCAAACTGTATTATGGCGATCTATCAACAACATAGTGTTATCATCATCAAAACATTTGCTAAGCCCTTTCTTGTATATGTACTGTGACAAGTGCTAGAGAAAGTAAATTAAAAAGACACAACCAGACCTTTAAAGGCACTTTATAATCTAAGTCTGATCCTATTTATGTAGACAGATATAGAAAGACTGTGCCAATAACTCAGTAGATCTAAGAATTATGTATAAATTAAAGAATTACATTCTGTTCATATAAGAGATACATCTATGCATCTGGTGGTGAAGGAATACTACAGGAAAATTGGAGAAATTGAGTTTGAAGGTAAAAAAAGTTTCAGTGATTATTACTGAATACATAATTATTTTTATTATTATCTTGTTACTTTGAAAGAAATTCAAAGTCATAAAATTTACAAGTTCTCTTTTAATGAGCCATAATTGATTTGGGGGGAATTGAAATATGCAAGTTAGGTCAATATTGTGAACTCTTCTTCCTTTGAAGAAACAGAGACAGTTGTTGAAACCAAAGTGGAAAACAAACCCCAATCACCTGAGCTGCTGAAGATGCAGGAGAAAAAGAAATTGATCAAAGAGACAGGCTCTGGAGTTTCCTTTGTTCTTATTACAACCCTTCTCGTTATTCCAATTGTTGTCCTGCTGGCTATTGCTGTCTTTATTTGGTGGAAGAAAACGAGGGCCTATGGAGGCAAGTAAAACTGAACAACTTTACTTTGGAAGCATAGTTTTGAAAAAAGTGTGTTTAGTGTAATTTACTCTTAAGAAATACATTTTGACTTTTTCCCCTAGTCATCCCTTTTAAGTATTTTTTTTCTTTCTTTGACATGATTGAATATTCATTAACTATTACATATAGCTTCTCCATCATTATAGAAACTGCTTCTGGAGCCTCCAAAATTGAAGTCTTTAAGTCAAATTTTAAGTTTTTACTTTGTCTTTAAGTATAGAGATTACACATATATAATTTTCTCTAAGGGATTCGTGAACTAGTTTTTTTTTTAAATATTTTGATAGCTAGTTTCCTTTAATACTTCATTTCCTTGGTAATCCTATGTATTTTATTTTGTGTATTTAAAACCTTTATTCATAGAAGGGATCAGTAGTGTTCACCAGACTGCCAGAGAAGTTCATGACCCAGAACATGTTAAGAATCCTTGTCCCAACGGAACTTCTTGAGGCCTACAATTAAGTAGAAACATAACAGAGCAGAAAAGTGGGTTTTGCTGAAGGCCCTGGAGAATCCACAGAGGACCTGTTGCTAGACTTCTAAATCATGGCTCCATCATGCAGTTCAGAAAGTCAATCTTTCCATTTAAGTCATTCTGTCTCATCTGGTTGCTGTGTCGCATTTGCAGTGCTTGGTTTTTTCTCCTACAGGGTTTTGAAAATATGTTTTTATATTAAATTAATCTTTCCTAGAAAGTGATTAAAGTTCTTCACAAGAAGAGATGTTTAAAAAGGAAATAGGGAAGATCTAGGTATAAAAATATGATCTACTCTAAGGTCCCATTTCATCTTAGTAGGGTCTTATGAAGGGTCTATTAACCTTAGATAATATGAGAATACTCCCCAAACATTCATGGACTTTACTTTCTTTTAATCCTAAATAAGGAGAGTAATTATATGCATAGGTAGGAACGCTTTTCTCAAGCAAGAGATATTCTGACCTTAAGGCAAAAACAGAACTCTACAATGAAGATCTGTAACCTTTAGGAATCCAAGCTACTCAATTTTCACCAGTAACCACTGTACTTTAAAGTCTGATATATTAGTTGTTTTTTTAACTTAAATTATATTGCAGAAGGCCTTTTAAACTTTTTTTTTTACTGATCATCATTCGTGAGATCCAGATTATGTGCTAAAAATTGCACTTATAAGGTAAAGATGGCAGTTGGGGCTCATTCTGAAATGTGCTATCTGTTTCCAGCTGATTCTGAGCACAAACTTGAGTCAAGTTCAGGAAGAATACTAGGAAGACTGAGAGGTATGTCTGTGACCTTTTAGAATCCATTTACTTCAGATGTATTCTGGCAAAGTCAACAAAAAACCCATGTCTCTGAAAGAGCAAGCGCATATTTCATATTCTATCTTTGAAAATTAAACTTCCCAAGGAGCCAGGGTTACGTTTCCCCAGTGGAAAATCCAATAAGCCAAAGAAGGCATATGGAAATATGGTAGCAGCTATTCTCCCTTTCTGTGCATTGTAGACTTTTAAAATTATTTTTATGTATTTGTTTTTATTTTTATTTACTTTAAATTGATTTAATTATTTTATTTATTATTATTAATTAAAATAAATTATTTAATGCTCTCCACCTGCCTTTCATCTGACCGCTATTTGTCTTCCATAAATTTTATATCATTCCTGTGGCATGTCAATAATTGTCGCAGTGGATATGGCTTTTTGTATAGTCACTGGAATGAACAGCTGCTTTATTAAGAGCAATTCTGCACAGTCTTGGAACTAGCAGGACCATATAGACTGTATATCTGAAGTAGTCCTCTGCTGACACATAATCTAGGGGGCTTTGTTTTTACTTTATGAGATCAAATTTGATTATATGAATATAATATACATAATATATAATGTAACTTTGACAAACTTTAAAATGCTAAATAAATGTTAGTTGTTGTTTATGTTAAGTTATAAAATGAATAACAGTGCCCTTTTTCTGTCAAATGGGTTCTTTACCTTTGGTATCCCTTTTTCTCTGAGACTATCCTCCCCATCTTATAATATCAGTCGCCATTAATGTGAATAGGATTGGGAAAAGTGAAGTATACTTAAAGCTGCCAGGAATGAGAAAATTAGCAAAAATTCCTAGAAACTTCAGTTATATGTCAATATTTTTTTTTACTCAGGCAAAGGAAGTGGAGGTCTAAACCTTGGAAACTTTTTTGCAAATCGCAAAGGTTACAGTCGAAAAGGGTTCGACCGACTTAGCACCGAGGGGAGTGACCAAGAAAAAGACGATGAAGGCAGTGAATCAGAAGAAGAATACTCAGCACCTCTACCCCTACCAGCTCCTGTCTCTTCCTTAAACTAAGCCTTGGATTTCTTTGTTGTACCATTTTACCAAGAACACCAGATTCCTTTCTCTTTCGCACGTTAAAAATTTTGTGTGCTTAATTGTAACTGCACTAGTCTGTGTGAGACTGTACACTTTTGGTTTCTTCTTTTGGGTTTAGTTTGCTTCCGTTTCAAGTAGAGGAGTGTTTTGAAAGATTATAGTAGTGCCATTATCCTTGTGTAAGCATCTACAAAAGAGAAAGAGGGAAGTCCTCTTTTTCCATCACAGTACTATTTTAAAGGATGTAGTGTTTGCTCAGTTACAATTTGGAACTTTTCTCTATGTGTAAATGATCCCATTATCTGCTTTCACACAGTATTTTCCCAATAGCTCTTCCATTGCCAATTTCTTTCTTTGGTGCCTTTCCTGTCCAGCGTTCCCAACCTATGGCAGTACAGAAAAACTACATGCTACAGGAAGATAAAGCTGCTAAATCGCCTTCTATTTTTTTAAAATCACTAACATTATATTGCAATGAGGGAAAGAAAAAAGTCTCTATTTAAAAAAAGAGTTTTGTTTTGTTTTTAATTTTCTTCAGTTGGTGTGTTTCTGGGATGTCTTATTTTTAGATGGTTACACTGTTAGAATGCTATTTTCAGAATCTGAATGTAATTTGTGTAATAAAGTGTTCTCAGAGCATTAGCTGTCAGAGTGTACTTTGCAATTTTTGGATATTTTTAGGTTTTTGTATACAACTTTTGTAATGACTACACAGATCACAAGTACAGTGAAATTTTATCAATGACTGCAAGCAAAAGAAGCGCTATTTTGTGTAAAAATTAGAAATTATTTTCTCATGTAGCAAGTAATATAAGAAAAAGCAGATCAAGAGTTTGCATACATGTATAAGAATTAAGCTCTTTAAATATTTAAAGAGGAATTTTGCCTGTATATCAATCTGCAGGGTATATATACTTTAATAAAACATGATCATAGCTAAGAGGAAACCTGTGTCTCCAATTGCATATGCAAATGAAGATAGTCAATCAGTGTAGATGAAGTTTTTTCCTTACAACTAATTTGTAGTTCCTCAAAACTTCCATATATTTATAGAGCAAAGTCTTAATTACCTAAAATTTGTCAGATTTTAATTTGTCTTCTGAAGACCTATTTCACAATAAGAGTGAAAAGAAATCATTTCAACTAGACATTGTATTCATGATTCATTAAGTATAATTTGCTAAGCACCTAGATAACATTTCCCTAAAAATAGAAGCAAATTACAATCAGCTAGGTGGGACAGTGGATACAGTATCAGGCCTGTAGTTAGGAAAACCTGAGTTCAAATCCAGCCCCAGACACTTACTAGCTGTGTAAACCTGGACAAGTCATTTAACCTCTGTTTGCCTTAATCCAAAAGGAGAAGTGGAGAAGGAAATGGCAAATACTGTAGCATCTTTGCCAAGAAAACCCCATAAAGGGGTCTCGAAGAGTTGGACATAACTGAAAACTACTAAGCACTAAGGAATCAAATCTGTTGCTTCATAGTTATATTATAATAATCAATTCAACAAATAAACAAGCATTCATTAAGCACCTACCATGTATCAAGCAAGATGCTAGTCACTGGGGATACAAATACAAAGAATGAATCAATCTCTATTCCCAAGGAGCTCCATTTATCAAAGAAGACAATAAGAACATATCAGTATCTACAGAATAAGTATAAAGAGAATAAGTAGAAAGGAGTTAAAAGAATTTGAGAGAAACAGATACTAGCAGTTGAACAGATCAGAAAAGGCTTCATATAAAAGGAGGTGCAAAAGCTGTATCTTAAAGGAAGAGATAGATTCTCTGAGATGGAGGTGAGAAGGAAGTATATTCCACTTATGGACACTTCCTGTGGGAGACAAAGAAAGAAAAGATTTGGAACAGCTACTGTGATTAGTGGGATAGAGAATCAATTAAGAAGACATAGAAGAATTACCTTATTGCAGTGAGGACCAACTTGAGATTAGATAATGTTAATTTGTCATGTACTCAACCTGCATTGTTCCATGATTTTCTCCACTGAGCAGCCCATGAATAATATGATTGGTATAATCCAGACTTGTGATTTAGAGTTGGATGAAGGAACAATAGATTCGATAGTAGAGAATATAATAGAGCTGAAATAAGTTACCAAGAGGGTCTAGATTGGGAAAGAAGGGTGAGGTAGTGAGCGTAGGGGTGAAGATCTGGGAAAGTACTAAATGGGGTGGAGAAATTGGATGTAATGGTATGAATGAAGAACAAGGATAAGGAATTACAGATATAAAGAAAGTTGAAATTACAAAAGATTATAGTTAAATAAAGAAATTTTGGAGTTCATAAAGTCCCCTAGTATGAGAGCAAGTATACAGATGGAAACTGTGAGACATACACTTAATTCATTTAGTAAGGATAGTGAATGTCCTAGGGCATTGGATTCTGGATTAGGGGATGTATTTGGATAGTGTAGACCTAAAAGAGAGTATAATGTGATAGTTGAAGAGGAAGAATCTGGCAATGGAAAGCAAGCAGTACTGTGGCTACCCTACCACAACTAGCAAATGAATGGAGGAATGAGGAAGTATGGGAGAAAATAAAGAAAGAGTGACTGAGGAAGCCACATTGTCATGAGGAAGATAAGTCTCAGTACCTAATGATGGAAGGAGTGAGAGAAAAAGATTTTAGATGAAAAGAGATTTGTTCATTATGGAGCAGGTTTTCCAGATGACCCAGTTAACAGGGTAAGTAAATCTGGAAAGGGACATTGAGGGAGTAGGGTTGAGGTGGATGGGAATGAGGAAGCAGATATCTAGAGTTGAAGAAGAGGTTCTGGTTTTTGGCAGCCAGGGGTTCGGTATTATTAGTACAGGGAGAAGCAAAAGGAATGGAAGTATGCTAAATACTGATGAATGAGTATAAGCGGAGTATAAGTGATGGAGAAAAGTCCATTAAGGGAGGCAAGAAATTCGTTCAAAGTCAAGGTCCCAACCTTGTCGCAAGTATTGGTGTTGTATCCTCTAAGGCCTACATCACAACCAGCATAAACAATAATGCTTCAACTACCTACTTGACATGATTCTCTGCTGAAAGTGCTTCGTACACTGTAATTTGTCATATGAATCTGACCTAATTCTATAATTTGATCTTTGACCCATTCATTCTTTAGGATTGGATTATTTAGTTTCCAATTAATTTAAACTATGCCTCAATAGCTTTTCAGTAAATGTAATTTTATTGCATTATAGTCCAAAAAAGGGTGCATTTAATATTTCTGTTTTTCTACATGCCTTTGAGAGGTTTTTATGCCCTAACACATGGTCAGTTTTTGCAAAGGTACCATGTACGACTGAGAAACAAATAACCTCCTTTCTTCTCATTCAGTATTCTTCAGCAGTCTATTATATCTAACTTTTCTAAACTTCTATTCATATCCTTAATTTCTTGTTTATTTTATGGTTAGATTTATCTGTATCTGAGGGGGGTAAATTGAGGTCCCCTATCCTCATTGTCTATTTCCTCCTATAACTCATCTAACTTTTCCAAGAATTTGTATTCTATATTTTGGAGTAGAAGTAAAGCAGTAGTAAATCTACTAAAAGTAGTAAAAAAAAAATAGTATTACTACTACTAAAAGTAGTAAAAAAAAAAAGTAGTGAAAGAGTAAAGTAGAGGAAATCACAAAATATACATTTGATGCATATATCAGTATTAATATTAATTCATTGTCTATGGTACCTTTTAGTAAGATGTAGTTTCACTTTTATCTTTTTTAATTACGTCTATTTTTGCTTTTGCTTTGTCTGAGATCATAATTGCTAACACTACCTTTTTTACTTCAGCTAAAGATAATAGATTCTGTTCCAACCTCTTATTTTAACTCTGTGTGTCTTTGTGTTTCAAATATGTCTCTTGTAAACAACATATTGTTGGATTCTTCTTTCTAATATATTCTGCTATCTTCTGTTTTATGAGTTCATCCTATTCACATTTGCAGTTATAATTGCCAACTGTGTGCTTCCCTCCATCCTATTCTCTTTTGTTTATGCTTCTCTTTTTAACCTGTCCTCTCCTCAAGAATCTGTTTTATTCTGATACTGATTCCCTTAATTATTTGAGCTAATTCTAAATGGGAAGTACAATTTTCTTCCTCAGTTCTCCCCCTGTCATCTTCCTCTTACTTTAAGAATGATTAAATTGTAAGTGGGAGGGTCTAAAAGGATACTTAAGCCATATGGAAGCTAATAGTATACTTCACATATTTTCATTTAAATAGCTGCAAAGTCTTGCAGTCCCCAAGCTTTTTTTTTTAAGTAGTTCAGGTGACTAGTTTTGTAAATATTTTATGATTAGTTCCATTAAATGTTTTTAAATTACCCCTGAACTATTACTAATGCATAGATGCTTGGGAAGAGAAAATGGGGCCTGAGGTGCTCAGTATAGCTGTTAACACATTCATATGAATGCTGAAATGGTTCAGCTTACAGAGTTAGCTAATTCTAACTGGCATAATTGATTCACTGAGAAAACAAAAGCATGGGCTTTGTGATAGTATTTCTTGAAATAAACTGAATGCCTCCTTTTTGTGAGATAAAAGCGTAGAATTATTATTCACTGAAATTTTCTAGGGGAAAAGAATCTGTATGAAAATGGATATTGGCAACATATAACAGTAGAAATAAATCACAAAATAATTTCTTCCTTGTTATAAAAATCTTTGATGCATGAAATAAGTACATTAATCCTCTAATATGCTCATGTCTCCAAACTCTACCCTAGTTATACAAACTGGATATTTACAACACAGAGTAGAAACTGTATGTTTAGTCCTATATCTCCAACTGTCTTCCTCTTAATTCTGAATAATATATATACATATATATTAAAATACTTTTTCATATCTAGACACCATTGTTGTGAGATAATTTATGAAGCCCTGGTTATGTAATTGTTGGACTTTTTCCTTTAAATCAATACTGAAAGGTCAATCTTTCTGAACTTAACTAGCTACAATAAGAAGGAAAGGATCATTGGATTTAGAGTCCTTCCAAGGGACCTTAGAGATCACTTAATTCTACATGCTTATTTTATGGATGAGAAAATTGAGGCCCAAATAGTTTAAGTTCTTGACTGAAGTCACATTTAGAAAGTAACAGATGTGGAATTTGCCCTGGGTCACGTGTCTCCAAATCCATTGCTCTTTCCACTGTGCTGCATTCCCTCAATATTAGAAGAGTTTGAAGTCAGTGCTTCCTATAAAGGAGTAAAAGACAAAGAATTTTTGAAGGAAACAAGATCATTTTCTCAAACATACATTTCCTTTGAGAATGAAAATATGACCCAGAACAACCATTAGTTCTAGTACATAATAATATAAGGAATTCATATGTATGTATATCAAATGTATATCAAATAATATAAAGAATGTTTATGGAGCACTTGAATGTTTTTAAAGTACTTTCCTCACAATCATCACATAAGATAGTGCAAATATCTTTGCCACTTACAAAATAAGAAATTAGTTCAGAAAAAAAAAATGAATAATATGGACATGGCTGTACAGATACTAGGTGTCAAAGCACAAACTAAAAGTCAAATTAATCAGCAAGTATTTATTAAGCACCTACTAGGTACCAGATATTGGAGTTAGTCCTTGGGATACAAAAGAAGAAAGTTTTTTTTAAAAAGTCTGTTCTCAAGGAGCTTACAGTCTAATTGGTAGACAACGTGCAAACAACCATGTACAAACAAGATATATACAGGATGAATTGGAGATAATTAACAGAGGAGAAGCATTAGGATTAAGATTAAGAAAGGCTTCTTGCAGAAGGTGGGATTTCAGCTGGGAGTTTTAAGGAAGTCCTGGGAACCACATGATAAAGACAAGGGAAGTATCCCAGACATTGGGTACAACCAACTAAAATGTGGAGGGGGGGAATAATTAAATAAATTTAAGATATTTTTGAAGAGAAAATGAAGTCAGGAGATGGAGTGTCAGGTTTTTGAAATTAGTCCAGGGTTGCTGGATCACAGTTCACGTAGAGTGAAGTGTAAGAAGACTGCGAAAGACAGGAAGGGGTCAGGTTATGAAGGAGTTTAAAAGCCAAGCAGGATTTATATTTGATTCTGGAGGTAATAGGGAAATACTGGAGCTTATTGAGTGGAAAAGCAGGGAGGTAAGAGCAGAGGGAGAGTGTCATGGTCAGACGTGTTCTAGGAAGATAACCTTGATATCTGAGTATAGAATAAACTGGAATGGGGAGATACTTAAGGCAGGGAAAACAACCAGCCGGCTATTGCAGTAGTCGTTATGAGGCCATGAGAGCTTGTACCAGGGCAGTGGTGGTGTAAGACAGGAGGAGAGGTATATATGACATGTAATAAACATAGAAATGATAGGACTTGGCAACTGATTGGATATGGGAGAGTGCGAGTGAGAAGTTGAAAATGACATCTAGGTTGTGAGCCGAAGTGACTGGGAGGGTGATAGCGCCCTTGACAACAATAAGGAAATTAGGAAGAGGGGATAGTTTTAGGGAAAAGATAATTAGTGTTCAATTTTGGAAATGTTAAATCTAAAATGTCTATAAAATATCTAGTTTGAGATGTCCAATAAGCATTTAGAGATGTAAGAGAGGAGGTCAGCTGAGAGGTTAAGACTGAATGAGTAAATTTGAGAAACATCAGCATAGAAATGATAATTGAATCCATGAAAGCTGATTAGATCACCAAGCAAAATAATATACAGGGAGAAGAATGTCCAGAAAAAATCCAGATAGTATCTTCAAATTTCTTTTGTAGGTTTAAATTCTATACATCTCATGTTCCACAGCAAGGACCCCAGCTCAATCAACAATTTCTCTGATAAAGGTAACGAGGGCCTTAAGCCAAAAAGTGATTATTCATAATAATAGACATGAAATGGTTTTACTTGGGTAGTGGTAGATAACCTCTCATTGAAGATCTTCAGGCAAAGGATAGATGACCACTTGTCGTTATGTTATATTGGAGTTTCTTTTTCAAGTATAGAATGAACTAAATGATCATTAAGGTCCCTTTCAAATCTGAGAGTCTTTGCTTCTGTGATTCTATTACCTAGGATTTAATTTTGAGAATGAAAGCAGAATAAGAACAAGACTGGGAAACCCTTAAAATCCTAGTAGAAACTAAACATGTTTGTATCAAGGTCATATTAAACAGAAGGAAGATTGGAGGGTGGGAAGAGGAAATGTGAGTGTGCACTTTTTACTGACAAAATTTGTGCTCTTGATTTTAATCATTATGTCTTATGGTCAAAAACAGACTTTACAACTTACTGATTGTGATAGTTGAATACAGTGCATATCACCATAATTAAAAATGTTGGTGTCCAAGGTTTGGGAAAAAATCAGAAAGGCTTTGATTCAGATTCATGCCTTATTTTAAGAAAATGTGCTACAAACAGAAATATTCAATGGCTGTCTACATTCTCCTTGCAAGAAATCTTTGATATGAACAACCTTTGCCCAATGTTTCACAAGACAACATAGCTAAACATTGGCTTTTAAAAAAGGAGACAGAGAGTTCCGCTTCTGGGAGCCAAGATGGTGGAATAAGAAGTCACTCTCACTGTCCCTTATTAACCTCTGAAATCCCAGAAAATAGCACCCCAGGAAAAACTCTGGAACAGCTGAACCAGACCAGTAGCCCAGGAAACTTGAGGGATTAATGGGAAAGGCCCCTCTGGCCCTGGGGAAGGGGGAGCAGTACAGAACAGGAGGCATCCCAGCAAGCTAATGGAAAGCCCCACCTCAGTATACCAAGGGGAGATGCTGAACCCTAGGTGGTGGAACAGGCAAGCCCTAACACCAGGACACCTGAGTGCTTCAGTATGGGCAGGGGAACCAGTGGAAACCAGCTTAGAAAACCACTACGTGCTACAGCATGCTATGGCAGCAAAGTCTCCCCATGCCTCAGAAAAACTCTGTGAAGTGCAGCTCCAAGGGCGAAAGCCACAGGTGGAGAAACATGCCACAGCAGCAAAACATCCATCTGAAAGGAGCCAAAGAGAGTGAAAGGAAAGGCCTGGGAGAGCAAGCAACCATCAGGGGCCTGACTACCCAAAGCTACCCCTAGAGTTGCAACGTTGCTGATTCCACCCCAACATCAGGTAAGCTGCCAGAACCCTACAGCCTCCAACTACCAGCATTGGAGGCCCCAGCACACAAAACCAGTGACCAGGCCCCTGGCTCCCAACACAAGAAGCTTGGGTCACTGCCCCCTGCTCTCCAGCAGGGCAGCTCAATCTTTTTAAAGGCCAGGAAATAAGCAAACACCATGAGCAAAAAGAAATGCACTATACATTCTTATAATGGGAACAGTGAAGATCAAGGTAGAAATTCTGAAGAGCACAGCATTGTTAACAAACCCACATTTGGAACCACAAAAGGGAATATGAACTGGTCTGAAGCCCAAAAAATCTTCTTGGAAGAGCTCAAGAATGACATTAAAATTCAAATAAGAGAGGCAGAAGAAAAATTGGGAAAAGAAATGAGAGGTATGCAAGAGACAGTCAATAGCTTGGAAAAGGAACGACAAAAATTAACTGAAGAAAACAACTCCTTAAAAAACAGAATTGGTCAAACAGAAAAGGAGGCACAAAAACCCACTGAGGAGAATTCCTTAAAAAATAAAATGGGCCAAATGGAAAAGGAGGTACAAAATCTAATAGAAGAAAATAATCTGTTAAAAATTAGAATTGGGCAAATGGAATGGGCTAATGACTATGTGAGAGAGTGAGAATCAGTCAAATAGAAACAAAGGACTGAAAAAATAGATGAAAATGGAAAATACCTCATTGGTAAAACAGCTGACCTGGAAAATAGATCCAGGAGAGACAAATTAAAAATTATTGGTTTAACTGAAAATCACAATGAAAAAAAGAGTCTGGACAGCATCTTTCAGGAAATCATCAGGGAAAACTGTCCTGAGGTACTAGAACCAGAGGATAAAATAGCCATAGAAAGAATCCACTGATCACCTCCTGAAAGAGATCCCAAATTGAAAACACCAAGGATTATACTAGTCAAATTCCAAAATTACCAGGTCAAAGAGAAAATACTGCAAGCAGCCAGAGATAAACAATTTAAATATCATGGAACCACAGTCAGGATTACACAGGACCTTGCAGCCTCTACATTAAAAGATTGTAGGGTGTGGAATATGATATTCCGTAAGGGAAAGGAGCTTGAATTACAACCAAGGATCAACTAGCCAGCAAAAATGAGCATAATCTTTCAGGGGAGGTGATAGATATTCAACAAAATAGAGGACTTCCAAACCTTCCAGATGAAAAGACTAGAGCTCAACAGAAAATTTGATCTTCAAATACAAGACTAAAGAGAGACATAAAAAGGTAAATGGGACAGAAAAAAACAACAGCATGTTATTAATAAGGGCAAATTGTTTAGATCCCTACAGGGGAAGATGATACTTGTAACTCTTGAGAACTGTATCGTTATTACACCATTTGAAAGGGGTATACATAGAGGGGGTGGGTATAAGTTGACTTTGATGTAATGATTTAAAAAAAATCTAATCAAGTGGGTTAAATGGATCTAAGTAAGTGGATTAATCTAAGGGAATGTTCTGGAGGAAAATAAAAGGAGGCAGACAAGGGTAAATTACCTTATAGGAAAAGGCACAAAAATCTGTTAAGGTAGAGAGAAAGGGAAGGAAATGAGCATTGTTTGAACCTCACTTTCATCAGATTTGGCTCAAGGAGGAAATAACATAATCAGTTGGATATAGAAATCTAACTTGCCCTATAAGCAGTAGGAGAGAAAAGGGGAAAGAAAAGAGAGGGGAGACAGGAGAGGGAAAAAGTAGTAAAGGTAAAGGGGAAGAAAAGGGAGGGGGCTAGTAGAAGGGAGGCAGGACTTGAGGTGGTAGTCAAAAGCAAAATACTACTGAGGAGGGAAAGGGAGAAAGGAGAAATAAAAGCATAAACGGGAGAAATAATATGGAGAGAAAGACACAGTAATCATAACTGTGAATGTGAATGAGATGAACTCTGCCATAAAATGGAAGTGGATAGCAGGATGGATTAAAAACCATAATCCTATAATATGTTGTTTGCAGGAAACACATTTGAAACAGAGGGAGACATACGGGGTAAAGGTAAAAGACTGGAGTAGAATATATTATGCTTTAGCTGAAGTAAAAAAAGCAAGAGTAGCAATCCTGATATCAGACAAAGCAAAAGCGAAAATAGATCTTATCAAAAGAGATAAGGAAGGAAACTATATCCTGCTAAAAGGCACCATAGACAATAAAGTAATATAATTACTAAACATATATGCACCAAGTGGCATAGCATCCAAATTCTTAGAGGAGAAGTTCAGGGAGTTAGAGGAAGAAATAGACACAAAACTATACTGGGGGGGGGACCTGAACTTCCCCCTCTCTGAACTAAACAAATCTAAACACAAAATAAACAAGAAAGAAGTTAAGGAGGTGAATAGAATATTAGAAAAGTTAGATATGGTAGACATCTAGAGAAAATTGAATGGGGATAGAAAGGAATATACTTTTTTCTCGGCAGTACATAGCACATACACAAAAATTAACCATGTACTAGGGCATAAAAACCTCACAATCCAATGCAAAAAGGCAGAAATATTAAATTTTTTTTTCAGATAATGATGCAATAAAAATGGGATGCAGCAAAAGCAGTTCTTAGGGGCAGTTTAATATCTCTAAATGTTACAAGAATAAAATAAAGAGGAGATCAATGAATTGGGCATACAACTAAGAAAACTAGGGAAAAAACAAATTAAAAATCTTCAATTAAACACCAAATTAGAAATATTGAAAACCCAAGGAGACATTAATAAAATTGAAATTAAGAAAACTATTGAACTAATAAATAAAACTAAGAGCTGGCTTTATGAAAAAAAACAATAAAATAGATAAACATTTGGTTAATTTAATTTAAAAAATAAAGAAGAAAACCAAATTATCAGTATCAAAAAAATGAAAAGGGTGAATCCACCATCAAGGAAGAGGAAATTAAAACAATAATTAGGAACTATTTTGCCTAACTGTATGCCAATAAATTTGACAATCTTAGTGAAATGGATGAATATTTACAAAAATATAAATCGCCTAGATTAACAGAAGAGAAAGTAAAGTACTTAAATAACCCCATCTCAGGAAAAGAAATTGAACAAGCCATTGACGAACTCCCTAGGAAAAAATCTCCAGGGCCAGATAGATTTACGAGTGAATTCTATCAAACATTTAAAGAACAATTAGTTCCAATACTATATAGATTATTTGGGAAAATAGGCAAAGAAGAAGTCTTACCAAATTCTTTTTATGATACAAATATGGTGCTGATACCTAAACCAGGAAGAGTCAAAACAGAGAAAGAAAATTAGACCAATTTCCTAATGAATATAGATGCAAAATTTTAAAAAAATATTAGCAAATACAGCAACTTATCACAAGAATAATACACTATAACCAGGTAGGATTTATACCAGGAATGCAGGGCTGCTTCAATACTAAGAAAGCTATCAGCATAATTGATCACATCAACAACAAAACTAACAGAAATCACATGATCATCTCAATAGATGCAGAAAAAGCTTTTGACAAAATACAACACCCATTCTATTAAACACTAGAGCATAGGATAAATGGAGTCTTCCTTAAAATAAAAATAGCATCTACTTAAAACCTTCAGCAAGCATCATTGTAATGGGGACAAGCTAGAAGCATTTCCAATAAGATTGGGGGTGAAACAAGGATGTCCATTATCACCACTGTTGTTCAATATTGTACTGGAAACATTAGCTTTAGCAATAAGAGAAGAAAAAGAAATTGAA